ACGCCCCCACACGCCCCCACACGCCCGCACACGCCCCCACACGCCCGCACACGCCCGCACACGCCCGCGCACGCCCGCATACCCATGCACACGCCCCCATGCACACGCCCCCATGCACACGCCCCCATGCACACGCGCCCATGCACACGCCCCCATGCACACGCCCCCATGCACACGCCCCCATGCACACGCCCCCATGCACACGCTCCCATGCACATGTACACGCCCCCATGCACATGCACACGCCCCCATGCACACGCCCGCACTCGCCCGCACACGCCCCTACCCACACCCACACCCGCACCCACCGCATCCTGAAGCCCACATTCCACAACAGCCACTTTTCTCTACAAGGAGGCTGTTGTAGCCAAGTCCACAGCGAAGATGCACACATGCAGCTCCAAATTCTGGTGGTCGTCTCGGGTGCCATCTGCTGTGGTTCATTGTGACTCATGCCCGTTTATTTGTGCAGTTTCAACATCATGAGACAAGCAAGGATGGATATGTTGAAGATGTTGGTGAAGGCCAGCTTCGGAGTGACGGAACTCGACGATGTCGTCGAACCAGCCTGCCCGGAGGTCCTTTTCATCGTGCATTGGTTGGCATGCTTGACGTCCGGAACCCAGCCGCAACCAACCCTTTGCGACTAAGTTTTTCGCAGTTGTTTCTGTCTGAGGTTCCTCGTCGCATCCCCTGTCTGCGTGGATGGCACAGCGATGCCTTGCCCACCCCCAGAGGGCCCGAACGACGACAGCAGGCAGAGGGATGGACGGCCTGCCAAAGATTGCTGTTAAGCATTTGTTGGGTGCAGGTTCTGGTCAAACTGGGTGCGAATGTTCCAAGTGGACAAATTTGACCTCGCGTGCGGGCCTCAGGACGTGACACTCAAGGGCTGACCACTCGCCTGACCCAAGCCGAGGGCGCGCTACTTGAGCACCTTTCACTTCATCACGGCCACACTCATGGCTTGAAGCTTATACTTACTTGTAGATGCGTATAGATTCTCTGTTCGTGATCTTGTTACGGCAAAGGCTGTTGGATATGGGGACATCTTCCCAGCTAACTCCTTCGAGCGCATCGTGTGCCTTGCGGTTTTGGGTTCGAGAGCGTCGGAAGTCCCAAAGTCCAAAGTCTCGTTTTCGAAGGTGCATTGTGTCTCAGATCACGGGTGCAGTGTTGTTCGGCTGTGGACCCAGAGCTGTTGCCAAAACTGTGTCTCACCCATGAGACGGCATCAGTGTCTGCAGCTGTCTTCGTGCTGCGCGTCTGCATGCGCGCTTGAGCCACGAGGCTTTCTCCTCTCCTGCATCACCGCAGTCCTCGAGTTCACACACCCTAGGGAGCTGGAGCACAAGAAGCGGATGTCCGAGATTAAGGACCGGCTGTTTGAACAATTCGCCGATGGTCAGCTTTCTCCTCTTGCAGAACTGGCTTCGGAATCGAAGCTTGCCGCAGCCCTTGAAGACGCAGGCAGACGGGGCCATAAGGGATTTGTCTGAGAGTTGGATCCTGATGTCAAGTCTGGCACCCCGTTCACTTCCTTAAATCTGCTCCAGGAAGCGGGCAGTGCCAGGGTGCATGCATGGGGGGGGCACGTTCCGTTGTGTGAGACGTTTAGCTGCTGGGGTCTCGTCCGCAGTCCTTCTCACGATTGCTGCTTGACAGCGTTGTATCACTGTAATTATCAAGTTGCCCCACAGCTGGCTTGTGCTGTGATTGAGGTTGCGGGACGATCCCCCTATGCCTTTGCAATATGTATCGTGGTCCATCAAAACAGAAACACGACTGACAATGGAGGGTGTCAGAAGGCCCATGCATCTGACTTTCCATGATTTGCAATGTACACAGTCAGGGTCGAGACAAGACATCCACGTGCTTTTCAAGTTCCGGCAGTGCTATTCGGTGTGGATGTGCCCTCCTCACGTCCTTTGACGTCCTTGCACATTCGGCTGTGCCGCGCTGCGATGCATCGGGTTGTGAGCGGCAAAGCAGAAGGAAGCAGAAGGACGCTGTCTTTGGGCGGCCCATCCACCGCTCTTGGCCGGTCTTTGCTCCCGCTGCCGCAGCCTCGCTTTTGTCAGGTCTGGTCGCACTTTTGCTACGTCACTGCGCAGCGGTCAGCCTTCAAGGCAGGGCCAAAGCACCGCGCGTTGCGCGTCGCATGCGTTGCGGCGTTGCGCAGCGGCGACCTCGTCCAATTGCACTGAAGAGGAGGAGCACACGATGCTGCTGTCCCTGCCGACGCACCTGCGCAGCCAGCTGGCCGGGTGCCCCAAGGGAGGCGAAGGGCGGCCCCTGGCCGTGGCCGCCGTGGCCGTGGCCATGTCTAAGCCCCCTTTTTTTTTTTTAGCGGAGAGATTTGTCGGTCCCGGCCATCCATCTCTCTCTCGAGGTCGAAGCCTCGCAAAAGATCTACTTCCAGGCCATTCAGGCAGTGACGGGTTCTTTAAGGAGGGCTGACAGGTGACAGCTGCGCGACGGGGCTTTGCAATGGTTGAGTTTCGGTACCCTGGAGCTTCGGAAGGGTCGTAGGGTGCCTTTGCAGAGACCGCATCGAGCCCAAGGGCAAAGCACCAAGCTGACTTCAAGTGCATGCAGATTCTACCCTGCCCCAGTGACAGTCTTGAGATGTCTTGAGTCTTATTGAGTCTTGATGACCCCAGAACGACTGTATGCCTGCATGTGCTATGACGCATGGGATCAAGTCCCAGTGTAAAAGCGTGCTCAGGGTTGACTGAACGGTAAAGCCCCGAACTTCAGGTTGACAGCCTTAGCATCCGCAGCCAGCTCGCAATGGCCCGTGAACTTGTTCCTGCGTTGCTGGTGGTCTCTTCTTGGTTTCCGGACGTCTCTTGGTGGTGTCCTGGAGGTCTCTTGGTGGTCTGCTGGTGGTCTGCTGGCGTCGTGGTGGTCTTTTCGTCGTCTCTTGCTGGTATGTCCTGGTGCTCTGTGTATCGTGCTCGTCGTGGGTAGTCTTCCGATGATTTGTTGATGTTGCGGTGGGTTTCCTGGTGGTCCACTACTCACTAGTCGTTGTCGGGTCGTCCCGGTGGCAGCGCTCGTCATGGGTGAACTTCTGATGATCTCCTGGTGTTCTCTGGATGGCGTCCTGGTGGTCTCCTGTGATCTGGCACGTGGTCTCTTGGTGTGTGGTGGTCTCTCTGTGGGTGCTGGTCTCCATTGGCGGCGGAATCCTGCCCATTGACTGAGCAGCAGAGGCCCCAGTAGTTGGCTGAGCCTGGAAAAATTTGAGTGTCTTTTCGAGGCCTGCTTGGGAAATTTCGAGAAGGGGCTGGTGGCCGAGCTTGCCGTCCAGGTGATGCCAATGCAGGCCTCTGCCCTTTGCTCTTCACCGCTTCTGCACGTGCAAAGCTCCGGACCTTTAGACGGCAGGTGCCATACCACATGTGCATCCTGGAGGACGGTGCATTGCAATGTCAGAGGTCCACTTTCGCGAACCTGGCTTGCAGACGGGGGAACTTACCACCGAGCTCTATGTGGTTGCGACTGGCCGAGTGGAGGCGGTTCTTGTGGAGGCGCGTTTGTAGCAGCTTAGCCCAGGGCGAAGCTTCCTTCGAGCCGCCCCGCTGTTGCGGAGGAACGCCACAATGAGAACCCGGAGCAGCTGGAGGCCTCCTTGGAGTTCTCGCCGTCTGGCCTGTTTGGACGCTTTCGCGTCGCGCAGGCCTTCCTGAAGCTTTGTTTGGCCAGCAGTGATCCACGCAGGCCAGAGGTACAAGGGTCACAACAGCCCGAAACTGTGTTGATCATGTCCGCATGTGAGGCACGGTGGCGGCGTGGCCCGTGAGGCGCGCACATGTGTTTGGGTGTGAGAGATTCGGGCCGAGCTGTGCCGGAGCAGTGCTTGCGGCTTTCAGTCACGCAGCTGAACGCAAGAACGGTTGCCCCCATTTGAGGACCTCTTCGACGAACCGTCCGGAAATAGCCTGCCGGATGCTTCTGCAGATGGAGAAGAGGCCTGCGGATTCGTTTCGGGCTTGCAAATTTTTGTGCCGAAGGTCCGGCTTAGTGCGAGGGTATCGAGTGCTAGATCTGTGAGGCACGCCCCCGTGCCGAGCGAACGCGCCGGAGGCAAGCCACCCCCACAAGGCAGGACTGGGTAGTTTTTGACGGGCATGAAGAGGTGAAGGAACCTTCACAAATTGAAGCATGGCAGATACAAGAAGTTGTGGCGAACAGCAGACTCTGCAACAGGATACCCGAGTCCGCATCTGTCCAACACGGGCTCAGGGGATTGATCCAGCGGGCGAGATCCTTCCTCACCGAGGTGCGGAGCTCTGTGGGGATTCCGATTCGATCGGGGCTCGCGGGACCCCTTGCGGGAGCGCTCTCTTTTTGCGGCCAAGGGCGTGGGCTTTGCAGCGCCAGCGGCCTCCGAGGACACCGGGGCCCTCTTCCTCTTCTCGGGGCTCTCTTGTGCGCGCTGCGGTGAAGCATGTGGTCTGACGGCTTACCGATAGGGGGAGTGTGGCCATGCGTGGCCAGGACATCATCCAAATTCTCTGCGGCATCTATGGAGAACTGGAGGCAGGTTGAACCTGAGCAGCGAGGCAAACTTGAAGCCAGTCCTGGCCTGCTACGCCTTTCTTAACTGCCGACAGTACCAACAACAAAAAGCAAGAGGCGCAGAATCCGCGGTGTCGTTGTCCAGGCTTTCGGCCACTGCGCTGTGGCACCGCTTCGCTTCCGAGGCGGGAGCCATGCCTTTTGTGTTGGGGTTGTGAAAGTCAGAAAGTGCGGCTTGCAGGTGGATGTTACCAATCCGAGGTCTTCTCCATCAACCAGGTGGGCTCTGTCGTGCTCTGTCTGAGCCAGATGGGCTGCTTTTCACGTGTGTGAAGTGGGCTGTGGACCGAATCAGGATATCCTGGACAGGGCTATGTCCGCCTACCCCGGCCGGCAGCAGGAGTTCGAGGCGAGGGCTTTTGGAGAAATCGCCACAATGTTATCCCCTTCCTCTCCTTTGTGTTGTGCGCCTGTCTGGCAGGTCCAGTGCCGCTCGGCCACGAAGGACGACTGCGATCGCTGCCTGAAATTAAGTAAATTAAGCGTAACGGAGAGCTTAGCGATGTTGGGAGTCTCGCTTGAACAAGAGGGCCTGAGCGTGAACTCGGCTGCAAGTGCTCACAGGAGCTGGCCAGGGCCATGCTGTCGGCCGAGTGGTCTGGGCAGCTTCCGCAGTGCGCACAGGCCCTCTGCAAGCGACAGGTGATAGGAGTAGACCTGCCTTCCGCCACCCACCAGAAGCACCCACTCCAAGCACCCATTCTTGTTCTGCCCAGCCGACGCAGCGCCTCAAAGGGCTGGTGGCACGGGTCTTGGCTTGCCCGTTCACGGTCGTCCATCTGTGTAGATGGTGCTCTAGCAACTCTGGCAGTGCGCATTGTGCTTTCCGAGTTCGAGAGTTGGAATGCTTTACAAGTTACGAGAATTGCTACCACGATCGGCTTTGTGCAGGTTGCAACACCCTAATGATGTGAGGCCGTCCTCTCCTCCTCTCTTCGTTCTAGCTTGTACCGCTGATCTCGAGAATATCATCCGTACAGGACTATCCGTCGAACAGCATGATTGTGAGGTCTACCGCACGAAGGCCACAGACGTGCGCCAGCTGCCAGCCGACGCGGGGGGCCCAGGGTGGAGGTTAGCTGAAACACTTTCGCTTTGTCACCCACTCGATGACGTAAGCAAGATGAGCTGGGCTTAGACCGAGATCAGTCCTATAAGGTCCTTGAGGAGGCGGACGAAGCTGGATTTGCACAGGCCGGCGGAGAGGATTCACACTAGGATAGCTCGATAAAGCATGGATCTTTCAGCGGATGTCACGTGTTTGTCTCGATGCTGGGGATGCTGTGTGACCCCACATGCTTGTCATCTTGCATTCAACGTCCACGACGCGCGACTTACTTCAGCCAGGCCTCAGCCGTCAGCTCAGCCGGCCAGTGAGACACCAGGGCCCTGCTGGAGCTGGCTGCACACTTGTCTGGCCACGGCTCAGGAAGCTGTGCGATGTGTTTCCTCCAAGCGACTGGACAAGGGCGGCAAGGCGCACACCGCACGGGGACAAAGGGTGACGTGTCCGATGGAGAGTGATACCGGCATCTCTTCGGATTTCAAAGCCTGCGGGACTCTGTGTCTGTCAGCCGAGAGATGCGTTGCCGGTGCAGACAGTCTTGCTTGTTTATTTGCGGCAGAAGTTTGGAAGCAGTTTGCAGGTGGTGACGGAGGTCGAACCCGTTCAGGATCCAATTTCTCGGCACCAAGCGGCGCACATCCTCAGGCAAAGACTGTAAGCTGCCACGCCCATTTTCTGTCGCAAGGACATCATCCGGCACCGAGCTCAGCGTCTGCCCGCAGCGGCGAATCGATACCAATCGGTTTCGTCTTGACAATGTTCCAAATATTTGAAGGGCACTCGACGGGCAGTCGAAAGCCGCAAATTGTAGGGGAGCATCGAGACCATAGTTCCAGATAGTGGCAGAAACCTTGTGCATGAGTATCCAGAGTCAGCGGGGCGAAATCAGAGCAGCAACCACAACAAAAACACCACCTCCACAACCACAAGACGGGGTAGGCGGGAACAAAGCTCACCACCAGGGGACAGGAATGTGGTTGGTGTTCATGGGAGGGTGGGTGGGGCCGGCTGGAGGGCATTGTCCAATGTACTGTCGATGCTTTGCACACGAGAAGTGCAGCCGTTCCGTAGGTGATCCTCACGGTGAGCGAGAGCCGTGGTGGCTTGCACAGGTCGGCAGGCAATCGATTTCAGGTCCTCCAACAAGACCATGCCCGGAGGATCCAGATGGCTCGTCATTACCATCTCTTGCCATATGACTTCTCGGTGTATCAAAGGGTGTCGCCTGTCCAAGTAACAGCCCCGTGTCTCGAAGGTAGCCCTCACATCTCTGGCTCGCAGACCTCGCCCACTGTTGTGTGGGTGCTACCTTGGCCATTCTTGGGTACCTGGGATAGTCCCGAGCACGCTGTGGACTGGGCTTGCCGAGACTCGAGGCGATGGGTGATCCCACACAACGACTCTCGAAAGATCATGCCCGGAGCTCGTCTGCTCGTGAGCTTCTGGTTTCAGAGTCTGCCAAATTCGTACAGACGTGCCGCTCTGGTTTCACTGAAACAAGAGCAGGTCTGCAGCGCTTCCACTGAATGTCCCGACAAAAACCAGCTATGGGCAACATGTGCATATTTTGGTCCAATATGTAAATTGTTAGTAATATGTGTACAACAGACAACATAGACAACAGACTTCAGATGTACCGGGCAGCCGGGCAGAAAGACTCGATCCTTCGCTCGTGCTTATGGTCGCCTTCCCGCCGGCCAGCCGCGCGGAGCGCCTTCGGAAGCGGCAACAAGCGGAGAGGCGTGCCACCCACAGAGCTCGTGGCCTCACCGAACCGTGGTTCCTCTGAGGAGTCTCCAGCTCAGGGTTCAGCATTCTTCAAAGTGGGGGCACGGCAGTAGTGCAAGATGTCCTCGCAAGAATGAAACCGGCCCTGCATGAGCTGCGCTAGTGAGAGCACTCAGCCAAACCTGTCCCAGAGCTGTTCAGGGTGAATTCCGCGGGTGCTGAACCGAAGCGGGCGAAGGCAGCGGAAAGTGTGCCAGATGAGTTCACGTTGCTTTGCTGTTCTTGAGGCGCTCCTGAATGGTTTTTGCAGGTGGAACAGCCTTCAGCAGATACTGCAGAAGCCCTTGGGGAGGAGGAGGAGGAAGTAGAGGTGCACTTGCGCAGCAGCGGTACTCGTAGCAACTGGAGCAACCTTCAACAGTCTGTGGTGACGCCCATGAGTACTTCGGCAGCCAGGTTCAAGATTATGGTCCTTATGGTAATTGCTTGCAGTAGCAGATAGTAGCAGCAATGAGTGTGTATGTTGTTTGGAGCATTGCAACCAACAGGAACGTCGAAGTGTTTGTTGTCCGTGAAGGTGCAGTCAGGGCATGGGTCAGGGCCAACGGAGGCAGAGGAGACGGGCCACCAAGTCTTGCCTCGAGCGATCCTTGGAAGCGCAGAGCGCAGGAGGGCACTGCCTCAACCTTCCTGGCCGCAGTCAAGGCTCGCCTGACGCAGTGGGGCAAGGCCAGGCTAAGCAGCTTCGCGTAGCTTTGCCGGTTCTTGCTGTGCCAATACAGCCAGTAACGTATGCAGGTCGCTGAGTACCACAAGTTCGTTCTGGCCTTGTCCGGATGCGTGGATGTGAAGACGCCTGGCTGAGATAGGAGGCTCCCAACAAAGTTGATTCTTGCGCTAGTTCCAGGCTTGCTGTGATCCCCTCTTCGCTCCGCTTCAGTCCTGGTAGATCCTCTGAACAGGGACGAGTGAAGGTGTGCTCGTTCGCTTGAAGGGCAGCTCTCAAGATCCTCCGTGGTCACGATGACCTCATTGCCGTGTTCCAACGCAAGGCGACTGGGGCACAGTTCGAACTTCAAAGGACGTCTCTGTGCTAGGCCTGCTAGGCCTGCTAGGCCCGAGGCCCTAGCGATGCAGAGCGTCGCGTCTGTCGTGGCAGTTCGCTCCGGATGCCGACCTCTCGGCAGTGAAGGCGGAGATCAAGGAGCCATGCCTTCTTCTGCTACATTACGGAGTGGGGGAAGAGCTCGGGAGCACTTGGACTTACTGGTAGTGCTTTGTCCGCGAGAGCTCCGAGGAGGAGGATGAGCCTCGACCTCCACCATTTCCGCCCGCGCGTGCCAAGGCACCCGGCGCCTCCCGGCACCTCCCGGCACCTCCCGGCACCCGGTGCCATCCCGAAGTGTGCGTCGATCAGGTGGAGCTTCAGGCAGAACCTGTCGCAGGCTCCACAGGCGATGGTCCAGAGGGGTAGTTGCAGCCCTGGGATCGGGCACACCTTGCGGTCCTTTCAGGCGTGAAGGCCGAGATCGACGACACGCCACGGCCACCGCGCTTCGCCCCGCTCGAGCGAAGGCAGGTCGGATCGGCAGCTCTTTCTTTCTCTCAATTTTTCTGCCTCCCAGACCGCCGCCTCGGGTCGGCGACGACAGTGACGAGGCCGACTGACTAGCCCTCTTCTCTCGCCTGTTACCCCCCTCGCTTGCAGCTTGCAGGAGCACTTCGACGAAACAGCCGTGGCTACTGCAGCTTCGCAGGGCCCTCGAGCCTGCGTTGAGGAACTGGCAGCTCGCCTATCCAGTTGAGAATGCTTTTGGCTCAGCCACTGGAAAAGCGTTTCAAGCGCTCCAAGCCTAGCCAAGGCTCGGCTGGTATTCAGTCGCGGGCGGAAGGCAGGCGACCAGACCGCCCAACGGGTGCAGATGCAGCGAGCCTCCGCTGCAGCTGTGGCCGGTTTGGCCTGTGTGAAACTAGCTCTGAGTAGTTTCGGCGGTGTGGCATCAACGAAGCGAGTTGTGCAGACGCACTGCTGGCCAGGTGACGCTCGGGAAGGAGATAAGAGAATAGTTATGCGGTCACACGTCAAACTCGGCTCACATACAAAAGCGGAACCCGTGTTCATTTTTGTTACTGCTGTGGTTGCTTTATGTTGTTTTTTGTTGTCGTGGCGCGGACCCGGGAAGCCAGTGATTGAGTCCCAGTTCCCGCAACGACAGCAAGAAAAACGCCCCCGCAACGACATCAAAAAAGAAGCGCACCCGCGACGACAGCAAGAAAAAAGCTCGCTCGCGACGACAGCAAAAAAGAAGCGCCCCCGGGGACGACAGCAACAAAAACAAACGCCCCAGCAACGACAGAAAAACAAAAACGCGCCCCCGGCGACGACAGCAAAAAACAGCGCCCCCGCAACGACAGCAAAAAAGAAGTGCACTCCCGGGAACGACAGCCAAAAAAAAACGCGAGCCTGCAACGATATCAAAACCACAAACACGCCCCCGGAAACGACAGCAAAAAGGAAACGCGCCCCCGGGGACGACAGCAACAAAAACAGCACCCCCGACAACAGCAACACAACAAAGTAATAGTCAGAATCGTGTTACTAGTAATACCCAGAGGTTCTGATGTAGTTACGTTCCTTTTTGTGGTTCCCTGGATTTTTCTGGTTGAAACCATTTGTTTCTAGTTCCTATATAAATAACCAAGTCCTAGGTAATCTTAAGATGAAAGACCTTGTAGCTATAAATCATAAAGCTACTTCCTGAAGTTCTTGTAAGATAGAATTTCTTCTTGGAAATTCGAAACCAGTTCTTGATATTCTCGAGGATCGAGGATCGAAAAATCATTTTTGAAATTCTTACATCATCTTGAGCATCAGACACAATCATTCTCAGGCACAGATGTTCGGATTGAGCAAGATGGGGTTTGCGTGCGAATTGACGTCAACATGTTGACACGGCTCTAGCATATTCATGTCCGTACATGTGGGAAGCAGCACCGAACATCGTATCACAGCATGCTTCTTCATCTCGTCTAAGTTGCATGAGCAGCCGATTCACAGCAAAAGTTGTTTTATTAACAATCAACTAGCATCTTCTATGCTTGATGGAGCCCA